ACTGTGTCTTAGTTGACTCATCCCTTCCTGTGACCCTTCTGTGAGGGGATGTCCTATTGTCTACAGATGGGTTTGGGTTTCTGCTCCGAGCCCCCTCATTCTCAACAATATATTTTTTTGTTTTTTTGTTTTGGGTCTTCTGGTGCCTGTTACCCGATTCCGTTGACACCTCATGATCACATGGGCTGGTATGCTTCTTCCATACGGGCTTGTTGCCTCTCTGCTAGATGACCGCTTACTTAACATCAAGCCTTTAAGACCCCAGACACTATAGCTTTTGATAGCTGGGCACCATCAGCTTTCTTCACCACATTTGCTTATGCAACCATTTTGTCTTCAGCAATCATGTCCGGAGGGTGATCATCACAGAATGCCAGGTTGTTAGAACAAAGTGTTCTTGAATTGAGGGAGGGCTTGAGCAGAGACCCTAAGGCCGTCCATTTCCTCAATGTATTGCCATATAAATATGTGTGCATAGGCCAATACCTCTTTTTATGAATTCATATATTTACATAAGTGCAAACCAATGTTTATATCTCTATCCTTAGTTTTGCTTCCTAGATCTTTCCTTTGTTTACTTTTACTTTCCTCCTGCCCCACCATCACGCTTGCCCTTCTTCTGCCTCTTAGTAATTCCTCTCAGCTATATTGCTGTTGCTCCAAGACCACTAGGACCCCACACCACTCACATCACCAGGATGGCTATATCAGAAAAACCCTTGTTACTGATTTTACTTCCCTAGTTGTTCCCCTGTCTATGGCGTTGTTTGCTCACTGCTCTTTTCTCCTGCCTCCTCCTCCCCGCTAGCCCCTCCAACACCATCGGTCCCATTGCTTTCTCCTCGGCTTGCTTCCCATGTCTAACTTATATACGTAGGCAACCCAACAATAACAGACAAAACAAAAAGAAAATTAAAAATTGAATAAAAACAGAACAAAAGAAAAGAAAAACTAGCAAAACTATTCCATTTCTGTCTACTGACCTTTATGACTATCTCCCCACCGGTCCTGGGAGTTTCCCAGAACTTCCCTTCCTACCCTGAAGTGTATTTGGGGGGGTTCTTCAGGGGGTTTGTGACTTGGCTTTGCTCCCATTGCTGCTCTGTTATGTTCCCTTCTTGGTTCACCGCACTGTGGGGCATTTCTCTTATGATTGGAGACCTTGAGTTTCTTTTCATTGGCTTGTTGGCTATATACAGATCTTCCATGGAATAATTTTTATTCTAGGCCTTAGCCCATTTTAAAATGAGGTTGTTTGTGTTTTGGTTGTTGTGTTATAGGAGTTATGCATTCTGTATATTAAGTCCTTGTGAGATAAATAATTCCCATGTGTTTTCTCCCTTTCTGTAGGTTGTCGCTTTACTTTCTTGCTGATATCCTCTGATGCACAACAGTTTTTTAAAAGTAATTTTATTGACATATAATTCATATATCATATACTTCAATAATTTAGTCATTTAAAAGGAGCTTACACAATCATCACTAAATTCATTCTAGAATATTTTCTTCTTATACTTATTGTTGTTAGCGCCCTATTTCCACCCAGCCTCCCCTCTCATACCTCCAATAAGCCCTTAATCGAGTTATTGATTCTATAGATTTACCTATCCTGGATTTCATGTACTGGTAAACACACCAAAACAAACAAACAAAAAATAAAACACGCACATAAACCACCCAACAACAATAACAAAATAAGCCGGAGGAAAACCTCATGGAAAAGGGAGCAGGAGTAGGTGGATGGATTGGTGTAAGACACAGAAAGTAATAATAATAATATATAGTTTAGCAATAAGGACCCCTGGGGGTATGGCAGGGTGGGAGGGGATGTAGGGGAGCCGATATCCAGGAGTTTATGAAGAAGGTAAATGTTGGGAATGGATGGCAGCAACAATTGTACAGTTCTGCTTGATCGAATTGAATTATGAATTGTTACCACATCTGTAAGAGCACCCAATAAAATGATTTTTTTAAATGCGAAACGAGAGCAGGAAATATTAAAAGGTAGAATAAATTTAAAATGGGTCAAAAGGAAGACCAAATGATAAGGTTCTAGATTTTAACCTGACTGGTTATTCAACCATTCATTTTCCGTTTCACTCTGAATGGCAGCAAAGCTGCCCCCATCCCTGATCTGTGGTCAGAGGGAATCACCAGTGGCTTGATCCACATGTATTTCCCCTTCACTTAATTTTTTTTTAATGAAACAACTTTAAAATGGATCAAAAGGGAGATCAAATGATAAGGTATTAATTTTAACCACCAAATCTGTTATATGGAGTTTACCATTGCTCTCTGAAAACAAGGATGTACAAAAGCTTTAAATTTAAATGAAATCTATCTTGTTTTTCTTATGTTACTTGTTCTTTTGGATCCTACTTAAGAATTCCTGGTCAAAAACAAGATTTTAATGTTATTCCTAAATTAAAAAAAAATTATTTGTTTATCTATATTGGGAGTTAACATATATATCATATCATTCTATAGTTCAATCGCATCAAGCAGTATTGTACAATTGCTGCCACAGTCAGTTTCAAACATTTTTTTTCCTTCCTGGACTCCCTTTCCCTGTGCCCCTTCTCCACCGCCCCACCCCCGAAACCCTTCTTCTATTTTTTGTCCCTCTAGGCTCATCAATCCTGAGTTTCATATACTGAAAAACATATAGCAAAAAATTCAAGAGGTGAGCCCCAATTATTATATTTAGTTAATTCATACCTTTTGAGTCTACTTTTATATCTAGTATGAAGTATGGTTTCCCTTTGTTAAAAGAATTGAGACATCCTTGTTGTTAGGCACCAAGGAGTCAACTCCGTCTCACGGCGGCGCTGGGCACAGCAGAGTGAAACACGGTCCTGTGCCGTCCCCACACCCGTTACCGTTAAGCCCTTCGTGCAGCCACTGCGGCATCCCGTCTCACTGCGGGTCTTCCTCTGTTTTGCGGACTCTGCTTTGCCAAGCATGATGTCCTTCTCCAGGGACTTGTCCCTCCTGACGTGTCCAAAGCATGTGAAACGGAGCCCCCATCCTTGTTCCGAAGGAGCCTCTGGCTGTGCCTTTCCCAAGACAATGTGCCCTTTGTACCTGGCAACTCAGCCAAGTCCACGTTCTTCACCAACGCCGTAATTCAGAAGCTTCCATTTCCCTTTGCTCGTCCTTACTCATCGTCTGACTTCCACATACATATGAGGTGGCTAAAAATAGCATGGCTCTAGTTGGGCACCTTCATCCCCAAGGTACCGTCTTTGCTTTTGAACATTTTAAGGCCTCTTTAGAGGTCTCTTGCAGCAGCTTTGCCAACACAATGCATACTTTTGATTTGACTGCTCCTTCCATGGGTGTTGATTGTGGATCCAAGCAAAACAAATTTCTTGATGGCCTAAAAATCTTTTCCATTTCTAATAATGTTGCTTATTGGTCCACTTGTGAGGATTTTGTTTTATGCATACTTTATATGTGGTGAAATGCATCTTTTACAGATTTCATACATATCATTCAATTAATTGTAAATAATACAAACAGCTGTATATATCATATCCTACCAAGCTATAGTAGCCCTGATCTCATAGAGGGTTATGAGTTGGGCTGCTAACCGCAAGGCCAGTAGTTCAAACCCACCAGCTGCCCTTGGGTGAAAGATGTGACTCTCTTCCTGTAAAGATCTACAGTCTGGGAAACCCTAGGGAGCAGTTCTACTCTGTGGTGCCACTGTGAGTCAGCGTTGGCTCAATGGGACCATTTATAACCCTAGAAAATTCCCTTGGGGCTCTTCTAACCAACCTACACACACACACACACACACACACACACACACACACACACACACCTGTTGTCACAGCAACCACTGCTCCAGTTTCCATCATCACAGTGTAGCTTTGCCTGTTCTCAACCACATTTGAGGGGACTCGGTCATACCGCATCACAGGTGCTTTCCTGCTTGAGGCCATTTGTCCAGCCTGATGACCGTGAACTTCCTCCACCTGGAGACCACACTGGAAGTGCGTCCCCTTTTATTGTTGGCCCTGCAGCTGAGTTCACCCCACCATGCTCGTGGACACCGTACTGTTTCCACTGTTTACTATGACCAGTGATGCTATTTTGAGTCTCCTCTTACAAAGCTTTGTGCGGACACAGATTTTCCTTTCTCTGGAGTAAATACTTAGCAGTGGATTTGGTTCCAGGCTGTATCTGCATTAACATTTTGAAGTAACCTCTGAAATGTTTTCTGTGGCAGTTGTCCTATTGTTCTCTAAAGTTCTCCTAAACTTTCATTGTTTGCCTCAGAGAGCTATTTTGGGCATATCTTGTATTGTGCTACTTGAGACTCTAGAACGGTGGTTCTCAACCTCTGGGTCATGACCCCTTTGGAGGTCAAATGACCCTTGCATAGGGGTTGCCAGATTCATAACAGTAGCAAAATTATAGTTATGAAGTAGCAACAAAAATAATTTTATGATTGGGGGGGAGGGTCACCACAATATGAGGAACTGTATTAAAGGGTCGTGGCATTAGGAAGGTTGAGAACCACTGCTCTAGAATACTTTCTTTAAGTTTTAGAGAAACAAGCAAGCAAGCAAACTAACAGTAGAATATTTCAACAAAAGAACATTTTGATAAGGGGTTTGCCAATGTGACCTGTTCTCTACCTTGTAGAGAGGTTTCTATTATCTCTGAAAAGGGACTCCCAGAGCTGGTAACTTCTGAGAAACCATTCGGATCAGCCTTCCGGTCACATCTGCTCTCCAGGAGAAGGAAATCAGGGGCAGAGGACCTATGAAGGGATTCATCTCTGAGTCCCCCTTCACAGGGACACGACAGAGAACACAGCACTGGGTACCACTGAGGGGACTAGATCTGAGCAGAGACAGACAGATGCTCAGCTGCATCTCTTTCTTCCGGTGTTGGCCCATGGACACACTGTTTATGCTGAATCTATTTCTTGGCTGTCCTTGCCTTAAGTATGAAGCTCAACACCTTAGCTTTTCCACTTTGTCTTCCAGGCCCAAGATGCCCTAGAAAATCTTGAAGTTCCTGTCGGCTGCCTCATGGTCTACAACGATGAAATTGTGGGGAGGGGAAGAAATGAGGTCAATCAAACCAAAAACGTACGTTGCTTGACTAGTGGGCTTGAACGCCATCAGCTGTGGCGGTAGGAGTGGCGCAAACACCTCCCAGCGGCGAGAAGACAGGTGTTCCGTGCCGGGCAGTGCTCTTTAACTTTGTCCTCACAGCGCTTTCGTGTCAGGATTCACAGGAGTGACACTGTTTTGTATTGTTTTTTAATGTGGAAAATCTATCAATGTAATGCGATCATAATCTTGGGGGGTGCATTTAGATATGATGCTGCTTTAATGTTAACCCATGAATGAAACCTAGACTTTTTCACTCGCTTCCTCATAGGGGAATTTTCTACATAGATTTGTCAGTAAGAAGTACGTCTATCTCCTCTTTAAACCCATCTGATACTTGAGAATCCCACTTTGTAAAAAAAAGAAAAGAAAATCCCACTTTGTAAGAAACAGCAGTTTCATGTGTGCGACATTTTTTACCCCAAACCAAACCCATTTCTGCAGAGTTGATTCTGACTCTTAGAGACCCCTCTAGGACAGGGCAGAAGTGCTCCCTAGGGTTTCGGGGATGGTAACTCTTTATGGTAGCTGACGCCTGATCTTTCTCCCCGTGAGTGATGGCTGGGTTGGAACGGCTGGCATTTAGCAGCCTGATGCGTAACCCACTGTGCCATTAGAACTCCAAAGCACCCGGTAGTCCTTTACGTGTTGTGCCCCGCACAGTGGGCGAAGAAATGACCCTCGGCTGATAGCTCTGCGGGATACAAGGATTGTGTACAGGAAGCTCATCTCCTGATGTCTCTATGACTGCATGTGGTGTGGACACGTTAATAGCCTGCGTCCTGTGATCCATGTGGTTTGGTTGGGACGTCCCGATGATCCTCATGTCACCATGATAAATATACATGGCAAGTGTGAGTGATGTATCAAATTTTATGATTTGCAAACAACCACTAGGAGGCAAAAATCACTAGCTGGATGACCCTAGAAGCCCTGGTGGCTTAGTGGGTTACAAGTTGAGCTGCTAACCACAAGGTCTGCTGTTCAAAACCACCAGTTGCTCCACAGAGAAAGATGAATCTTTCTACTCCCATAAAGTGTTAGAATCTGGGAAACTCACACGAGCAGCCCTGTTCTGTCTTATAGGGTCACTTTGAGTCAGATTTGGCTCTATGGCTGTGAGATTGAGTTTGGGCATGGATTCTTAGATAACTGAGAACGCATGCCATTCACAGGGCCTTGAATTGTGTTAGATGATCTTGGGAGCCAACACACAAGCTGGTGTTGGGACCAACGTGCTAGGAGCTTTCAAATTCATCCATCACGCCCCTCACCAGATGGAAGCGAAAACTGAGACTCAGCAAAAGTCGTGCAGAGGACAGCCAGATCTACTGGGCAATTACCACGAGGACAGGAAAACATCTGTGAGAGAAACACTAAGCACGATTGCTGAATATACGGATACGTGTTTGGGACTGGAACTCGTAAGATCTGAGCAGCTGTCTTTTCAAATGGCTACCATATCTCTCTATGAGTCTTCTGCAGTTTGGTATGGAATCTTTTACATAGAAGCAAATTTGGGGTCTCACTTGAGCACTGGGCTTGCAGAAGTTTGTTGTTTATAGTGGAAGCTCCAAGCCCATCTGTGAGTCTCTGTGCCAAGCCAGCCTCCCTGAAATCCCTTCTGACCATGAACCAGCCTCCTGAACAGCCTGGCCCTTAGGCAGGGAGCATTAGACATGAGATAGCTTTTCTTTCCCTAGCCAGCCTTGAGAGAAACTGCTTAGCCTTTTGCGACTTGGCCTGGGTGTGCCTTAGTGGAAATCAGGCTGCTAAGGTCCCCTGATTAGAAGGAATTCAATGGGGGCTGGATTTATGTATGGACTCCTGAGTGGATTGGGTGTTCCACTGTAACCTATACCCTTCTGCACACTCAGGACGATCAACACCTATACTCCCCAATGACTTGGACTTCTGTACCCTTAAGTCAACCAAGATTTATTTTGGCTACTATAGAAAAGTCTCCTGTAAACACACAGGATAGAAGGCTCTTGACCCTAAACGAGGAGACCTGCTGTCTAGGCTCCCATACGCCACCACCTCTTCCAGATGTGTCTTTAACCCCGCCATGAGAGCCCTGGTGGCATAGCGGTTACACATTGTGCCGCTAACAGCAAGGTCAGCAGTTCGAAACTGTCACTCTGAGGGAGAATGAAACTCACAGGGGCCATTCTACCCTGTCCTATAGGGTCACTATGAGTCAGCATCAACTCGATGGCAGGGAGTTTGAGTGAGTCACCTAGAATGGACTGTTTCTTCAGCAGCAAAACACAGCTGGCTGAGTTGATTCAGTTCAATAATTATTTATTGTGAGCTTAGGGGCAATTGGTTAGAAGTTCAGATTTTTAAGAAGTTCCCCACTTGGTTCTGGTACGTGGTCATGTTTGGGCGCCTCCTCTCTGAGCAGGCCCTTCTGTGATGCAGTGACTCCTGTCTGCCTCTGGTTCCTGAGGCTGCTGGGCTGTTATAATCAAATGGATGCCTTTGACCCCATGTGGTGCTGGTTGAGGACGGAGACTTTTCATCCCGCACAGAATTTCACACAGTTCTCAATGCATAGTTAGGACTCTGAAACTCAAACCTGAACTTGCTGCTATTAAGTCGGTCCTGATCCGTAGTGACCCTTTAGGACCAAGTAGAACTGTCCTTGTGGGTTTCCAAGGTTGTACATCTTCACAGGAGCAGAAAGCCTCATCTGTCTCCATGGAGCAGCTGGTGGGCTTGAGCTCCTGACTTGTGGCTCACAGTCCAGCACAGAGCCCCCTGTGCCACCACTCAGTGTCAGGTACCTGTGAGTGTCTTAAAATGTGGACGAAATCACTGGAGACCGTTAGTGTAGTTTGCATTAAGTTACTGTAGTCAGGGGAAAGAGAGAGAAGCATCATTGCAGAGGACATATGAAAACATGATGTAGCATGGTGCTCCATGCTGTTCAGCATATGTTATGGGGTACCTGTTACCATAGAGTTGCTTCCCACTCACGGTGACCCCATAAAAACCCAAATCCAAACTCACTGCCATTGAGTTGATGCTGACTTATCGTGACGCTATCAAACAGGGCAGAACTGCCTCCTGTGAGTTTCCAAGGCTCTAACTCTTGATGGGAGTCAAAAGCCCCATATTAGTGTCTGGTGGTTTCAAACTGCTGAACCTGTGGCTAGCAGTCCAGTGAGTAACCACTATGCCACCAGGGCTCTTAGTGATTCCATAGGACTGAGTAGAACTGCCCAATAGGGATTCAAAGGCTATAAATCTTTACAGAAGTAGACTGTAGAGGTGTGCATGTACTAACACTCCATCTCATACCTAAGGAAACAAAGGCTCAGAGAAGTTAGGTCTCTTGCCCACAGCCACATGACTAACAACCCCGAGGTCAGGGGTCAGATGTACATGCGTTCAATCCCAAATGCTGTGTGAGGTCTCCTGTCCTCTCCTGCCTACTGTGTTTCCTTGAGACCAGTCCCTCATGGCTACCTCTCTCTGGACTTGACCTGTCTGTAGATCTCATCTCAAAGCAAATAGAAGTGATACCATTCCCGTCAACCAAATAGAGGCTGGCTTAGCGTGCAGTCAGCGAGAGCCTTGAAACCCCATTGGAAACAAGCATACGCTTCTGAACATCTCAAGTCTCGATTAAAATAGACAGTAATCCGTCTTTGGAGACTTTAAATTTTCTTAAAGTCACGCCTTTATGGCATTTTGATGGGAAGTCCTTCCCCAAAGATACCCCAAAGACTGAGCATTCAGTCAGGTGAGTCCAACATCGCCGATTTGGTGCCTTTGGTTGGTGCAGTTACAGCACTGGAACAGAAAATCACCTTGTCAGCTACTCGGAGGGGAGGGTCCTGAAAACTTTACTCCCTGAAATGCCGGCAGCGACAAGTGCACAAGGTTATCTTTCTGTTGAATTTTTTTGGTGAAGTAGTCAGTGCACGTAGGAGGGTTATCCATCCAATCACCCCCGCCCCCCTGTCTCCCCAGGCTACCCGGCATGCAGAAATGGTGGCCATCGACCAGGTTCTGGAGTGGTGTCATCGCTGCGGCAAGAGCCCCTCAGAAGTGTTTGAGCACACAGTGCTCTATGTCACGGTGGAGCCCTGCATCATGTGCGCAGCTGCTCTCCGCCTGATGAGTATCCTTGTCCTAATGGGAGCCTCCGGCCTCCTCCCCTCAAAGGCAGGAGTGCTTCCCCTACAACCTGCTCCGATGTGTATGAGCCAGTCCGCAGAGGGCCATGTTACACAATAGTAGGTCCCTTGGCAAAAAAAATTAAATAATGAAACCATCCTGTTGCTCTTAGATCAATAAGCATGTAATGAATTCTTATGAAACAAGTAAGGCGGAGAAGGCAAGGTTAGTCCTAAACTGAAACTCCTGCGTACGGATCAGTGACCAGTAGGTAAAAGTAGGTACTAAAGCACTGTGCACAGGAAGCGCTGCAGAAGGTGCCCCTGCATTTTACCTCTGGATCACCGATGGCAAGTGATCCGCAGTGTTTAGTTTGACAAGGAAATCGGTAAAAAGCAAATGAGTCATATATGACCTGACTCTGAGCAGGCGGAAAGTGGATGAAGTTGGGGCTCGCTGTTTCTGTGATGTAGCTTTCGACTGTGAGTTGACTGAAGGTTGACGGAGGAAATCCGTTTTCCATTCAACAGTTCACACCCACACGCAGGCATGTTGTGGAATGCCATCCCCTTAGCCCACCTCCTCCTGTGCTTCTCCCTTTAGTCCTTCTTACTGATCCCTTCCTGCCCTTGAGTGCATTTCCTAGGACAAATGCTCCCCTTTCGATCTCAATTGGTGGATTATTCTGAGGGCATGTACCTCCTGTGTGTGTGTGTGTGTGTGTGTTGTTTCCCATTTACAGACCTATTTTTCGACTGAAAATTGAACCATGGGGTAAATTTCATCCCTGGTCTGATGGGTCATTAAGGCCCTGAGCCCTAGGGCCTCTACCAGTCTCTGTCTCACCAATAAGCCTGGCCTTTTGTTGTGAATTTGAGGGTTTAAAAATTTTTGTCATCATTTTACTGGGGGCTCGTACAACTCTGATCACAATCCATCCATCCATCCATTGTGTCAAGCACATGTGTACATTTGTTGCCCTCATCATTCTCAAAACATTTGCTTTCTACTTGAGCCCTTGGTATGAGCTGTGAATTTGAGTTTTGTTCCACCTTTTTCTCTCGCTTTTTCCAGGACCTTCCAAGGGGATCCATTTCAGAGTGACCAACAGTGGTGGTGGGGCACCACCTTGTTCTTCTGGTCTCCAGTCATGGAGGCTCCATGAGTCCGTTGGCGTTTCTTCACTCTTCATAGAGTTACAGCTCCTCAGACTGGGTCGTGAATAGAGTAAGCACAGATAGTGAGTCGAACAGGTTCATGTCTTTTTGAAAGAAATTATTTGGAAATTCAAAAACCCTTAGTTGTATACTTAATGGATTTTTCTACAATTTGGCTGTACTGTATGTGTAGGAATAATTTTTTTTCACTGTCAGAAGATTAGATAGTTTTGAGTATGATGAAATTTATAAACTGTACTTTATGAGAAGGGAATCATAGTCGCCTAAAACCCGGAATCCATCCACCATAAACACTGCTGTGAGCCCCACAAGCTGAGGGATCCGGCTTCTACTTCTTGGATCAGCAGGTAAACCTGGAGCGATGGAATAGTGTATCCAATGCCAAGCAGCCTCTTATTGGGAGATTTAGAGCCCAAACCAGATCTTCTTGCTTTGGGCTAAGTGACACTTATACACAAGTTGGGGTGCACTGCCTGGTTATTGTGCTAATGGTTAAACTCTTACTGTGCATTACCCTGTTTGAATACATGATCCACGATCTTTTGAGTCAAGTCCTGTTTGTGAATCAGACAGTGCTGCCTCTAATGCCAGCTGCTTTCATTCCTCATTCTGCTAGTTTGGGACCTTGTGGAGGCTCCTCATGTTCTACCTCCAAAGAGGTTGATGCATTTAAGTAGTACTTAGCAGTTCATCAGTGCTAAGTGACATTAAAAAACCAAACCAAACCAGTTCAAGCCCGGTATCTGTTGCATAGGTCCTCTCTGCATGAAAAGGTTTAAAAAGTTCATCTCTAGCCACGTACGAACTCTCATAGGCACACTGTGAAGTCGGTGCTCCTTGTGGTCTCTCAAGCCACTTCCAACTCTCAGAGCGACCCTGTATTCGGTGCTCCTTGTGGTCTCTCAAGCCACTTCCAACTCTCAGAGCGACCCTGTACACTACGGCCTGCTCCGGGGCCATGCTCGCAGCTGTCCTTATGTTCAGGCACTTTGTGGCAGGCACTGTGCCACTCTGTCTTGTCAAGGGACCGTCCTCTTTTTCGCTGCCCCTCCACTTTACCAAACATGATGTCTTTCTCCAGGGACTGGTCTCTCCTGACATGTCCAAAGTATGTGAGACCAAGTCTCATCATCCTTTCCTCTCAGGAGCACTTTGGCTGTACATAGTCCAAGACAGATTTATTTGTTTTTGTGGCAGTCCATGATACTGTCAATATTCTTTGCCAGCTTCGTAATTCACAGGGTATTCCTTATGATCCCCATTTTACAGAGGAAGAAACTGAGACATAGAAAACATCCTTCTTGAGGCCACTGGAGATCCCCTTGCAGAGGGGTCTCGGGGAGGAGATGAGCCAGTCAGGGTGCGATGCAACAACGATGAAAAATACAACTTTCCTCTAGCTCCTAAATGTTTCCTCCCTGCTCACACTACCATGACTCGAATTTGACCTTGCAAGTCTGGCTAGACCAGGGGATGTACACTGGTACAGATAGGAACTGAAAATACAGGGAATCCAGGGCGGATGAGCCATACAGGACCAGTGATGAGAGTGGCGAAACAGGGAGGGTAGAGGGAGAGTGGGTAGGAAAGAGGGAATCGATTACAAGGAACTATATGTGACCTCCTTCCTGGGGGGCGGACAACAGAAAAGTGGGTGGAGGGAGACGTCGGACAGGGCAAGATATGACAAAATAACAATTTATAAACTATCAAGGGCTCATGAGGGAGGGTGGAGCAGGGAGGGAGGGGAAAAATGAGGAACTAATACCAGGGGTTTAAGTGGAGAGCAAATGTTTTGAGAATGATGAGGGCAATGAATGTACAAATGCGCTTTACACAATTGATGTGTGTATGGATTGTGATGAGTTGTATGAGCCCCTAATAAAATGATTAAAAAAAAGAAAAGAAAAGAAAACATCCTACTTGAACAGAAGAAGAAAAAATGGGCCTTTTAAAATTACTATTATTATGAGTGTTTGTTTGCCTTTCACATAGCTGTTGGGTGAGTGCGAAGCCAAGTGCCAAGGGCATTAGAAAGAGGGCAGAGGCGGGGGAAGGGACTGGGCGTCTTATTAGGAAGATAACCATCCACTACTTCACTCGATGGGAAGTGTGTTGAAAATAGAATACCTTTCAAACTGGTTTTAACACTCAGAGTGTAAAATGCATCACACATTGCCCTCAGATACTAGGGACAGGCAAAGCACGGGTGAGCTTTTACAGGGAAGAGTTCTTCACAAGCCTCAGTCTGCATCATGAGACGTGACGTGCGGGGAAGGAAGCGGGGGAGTCTGCACCTCAGCTCCGCACATCACAGCACCTTTTAGGGCACCTGCCTCTTCATGGATAAAATGGTCAGATCAGCGGTTTGCAGACTTCTTAACCGCTTTGGAGCTGCCGAGGCCAGGAAGAGGCCTTGGAGGTCCATGTTCAAGTCCCCCCATCTCCCATCCTGCTTCACAGAAGGGCTGTTTTAGTCTATGGTATCAGGGTAGGGGGAGGGGGTCATATGTTATTTATTAGGTCAAAGAACAAGGCATACTCTTTTCTAACTCCCTGGATTAAATTTCTGCCATCTTTCTGGCTTTAATCCTCTGATGATTCTGAAAGCAAAAACAAAACCCTAGCAGCACCCTAGTGGTTACAAATTGGAATGTGTACCACAAAGTCAATAGGTCAAACCTAGCAGACAGCCCCAAGGGAGAAAATTGAGGCTTTCTATTCCTGTCAAGATGTACAATCTTGGAAAGCCACAGGGGCAATTCCAGCCCATCCTGTGGGATTGCTATGCATCAGAATCGACTCAACAAATTTGATTTTGTTTTTCAAGCAGAGCACTAAACTGAGCAGTTAGAAAGTATATTTTCAATTTTCATTCAACTTGAACCTATTGGATGCTAATCCCCAAACACTTTAAACTTTTTCTCCTTTGTGTAACTGGATCATGTGACTTTTTAATAGTATGCCAAAACGTCACTGTTTTACAGAGGAGGCATAACTTTCCTTTTCAGGATGCCAGGTACAAACCTATCATGCTTTCATCGTGCACGATACCTATTTCTACGCACAGGACCTTGACTCTTCCTTAGAGATCCCACTGGTTGTCTATGGCTGTCAGAATGAGCGATTTGGTGGATGCGGTTCCGTGGTGAATATTGCCTCTGCAGACCTGCCGCATACGGGGAAACCGTTTCAGGTAAGGTGCAGTGCTGGTGCTTTCCTCTCCCATCTAGTCGATCTTTTCTGGGGCTTATAACGAAATTGGGGGTCAGCAAATACCAAGTAACTACCGCAGGCCCTGCCCAGACCTGTTTAGCCTCAGTGTAAAACAACAGATAGTCATTTCCAAACATTTTGATCAAAGATTCTAAAAAAAGATCTTGATCAAAAGGAGGGACTTGCAGCACAATTTAAAACTTGTAGGATCCAGAATGTCTGCAGTCATCGAGGTTGGATGAACTCATAAAACTATTACCCTTAGGTAAACTTTAAACCTTAGGCCAAAATATCCCCTGAAGTCTTCTTTAAACCAGCTTAATTAGTAAGGAGTAGCTGCCACGAGCATTGCGCTTTTTGAAAACCATTGATGTGAGATCAAACTGCCAACAGCAACTGGGCATGCTTTGTTGTTGTTAATGGGGGAACAATTTGGCAAAGGAGGGTGAGAGTGGTTACACAACTTGAGTACGATCAATGTCACTCACTCGAACATTTAGAAACAGTTGAATTGGTGTTTGTTTGCTGTGTGTAAAGAAGACTACAGTTAATAGTTTCTAGACAAGTGCCTTCTTCTCTTAATTAACTCCTCAAGGAGTCCTGTGCCATCCTAGGTAACTCCTGACAATTTCCCTTACCTCTTCATGTTTGAAGAGACACCACTGCTGATGCCTTTACTCAATGAGTGTTGTTATCTAGTTCTGCTGTAACAGAAATACCACAGGCAGATGGCTTTAGCCAACTGAAACCTGTGCTCTCGGAGTCTGGGAGGCTAGGAGCCTGAATCCAGGGTGGCAGCTCCAGGGGAAAGCTCTCTCTATCCACTCTGCGGGATGGCCCTTGCCATCAGTCTTCCTCTGGGTCTAGGCACAGGGGCCCTGGCTCCAAAGGACTGGCTCCGCTCCAGACTTTTCTTTATTGGTGGTACCGAGTCTTCTGATCTCTGCTTGTTTCCTCTCTTTTCTATCCCAAAAGAGGTTGATCAACACTCAGCCTAATTCTACAGATTGTATCCTGCCTCATTAGCATAGCTACTGCTAATGGTGCCATGTTAACATTATAGAGGTTAAGATTTCCAGCCCCTCGGTAATTATATCACAAAATAGAGGATAATTACATAATATGGGGAAATCATGGCCCAGCCAAGTTAACATATTTGGGGACCCAATTTAATCCACAAACATAAGCTCCATACTATTCCGGTTTCACATGGGGCGGAATATTTTGGCACTGATTCAAACCTTGTGCTTGGTTGCCATGTACTGATTTGGGGTTTGGGCAGAAGCATTGGTGGTAATGTGGGTTACAATTTGGGCTGATAACCACAAGGTCAGTAGTTCAAAACCACCAGCCAATCTCTGGGAGCAATATGGGGCTTTCTGTGCCTGTAAAGATTTGTAACCTCAAAACCCGCAAGGACTGTTCTAGTCTGTCTTTTTGGGTCAAGAAGAGTCAGAATTGACTTGATAGCAGTGAGGGTTTGTGTGTGTGTGTGTGTGTGTGTGTGTGTGTGTGCGCGCGTGCATGCATGTGTGTTTTTAAATTGGTGTCTAGCAATCATTCAGGAGTGCTTAACCAAAGACCAAACTCAACTGCCATCAAGTCAATTCTGAGCCATAGTCACCCGATAAGGTAGAGTAGAATTGCCCCTGTGAGTTACCAAAGCTGTAAATCTCTTCTGGAGCAGAAAGCCTCCTTTCCCCTCATAGCAGCTGGGGGTCTTCATGCGGTGAGCAGCTTAAATTGTAACCCCTCATACCACGAAGGCTCCTTCAAGAGTCCTAAGGTGGTGCAAATGGCTAACATGCTTGGCTGTTAATTGAAAGGTGGGTGGTTTGAGTCCCAGAGGCACCTGGGAAGTCAGGCCTAATGGATCAACTTCTGAAAAATCAGCCACTGAAAACCCTAGAGCACAGTTCCACTCTGGTGCCCTGGGGATGTAAAAAGTTGGTGTCGACTCTACAGCAACTGGTTTTCTGGCTTAACAATCAAATCACTGCCTCCCCGTCCCCCTCCCCCAAGCCTTTGTAATCTTGACAATTTCTCCAGACCCAAGAATCCATGTTTCCTTACTCTTTCAGACGTTCTGCTGGGTTTTTCATTCTTGCCACTCCTTCCAATATGTTTACGGTTGAGGCTGTCAGCATTAGAATTTTCAATTTCTTATTTGTCTGCCTGAATTTTCTTCAGACACTGGCCCGTAAGTCCATGCCATTTTTCATAAACTAGCTTGATTGCTTTTGTCTCCAAAATGTAAGATTAATCCCCAAGCATTGTGCTCTCAAAAAGTGAAGACTTTGAGGAATGTTTGGATATCGTGACCAGTTTGCTTCAAAGACCTGCAGAATGTGCCCAGGAGCCACAAGGGCTGCATTTGTCTGAGTCCGGCCAAAAGCAAGCTTTGCAAAACCTCCCTTCTCGAGTTTTCCTAGCTGGACACGAGCTTTTATAAGTACTTCTATGCCACTGAGAAAAAAATGGCCTTGAAGGCTGCTTCACAGAAAAGCCTGTGTTGGGTGGGGGAAAGTAAGAGGTACAATAAGTTTGATCATTGAAAACATCTACAAAGTGAATTTTTCTATCACTTCTCTCAGTGGCTCTACTTTTGCTTATATACTTCTTTGAAAATGACTTAGTGGCTTTCTCCATGTCATTTATGAGAAAGATCAAAAGAGGTATTCCAAGTTGTTGGGCAGAACAAAGCGCCGTGGATGGAACCTGCTCCTCAGATAGGATGATGATGTCACACGTCCCTCAGCCACCCATCCGCACAGAGCTGTCCCAGCTGAGCCAAAAAGATGCTTCCCTGGCAGTCTGCCTAGCCACTGGCTCAGCAATAAAAAATAAAAGGCCCTGGTCCGAAGCCAGATCTCTTTGTTTTGATGGCAAAATATGTTTTTTGAGGTGGTTTGAGATTCGAAGGCAAACAGTGGTACCTTGGACTTCTATATGCTGTATCTTCTTCCTTATTTGACCGGATGGGGGTGGAGAGAAGAATCCTTTTTCCTAACGCAGAATTAGAGATTTGAAAAAAAAACACCACAAAACACCACTATCAGCAGGAGCCTTGTGGTGCAGTGCTTATGCATTCCACTGGTAATGGAAAGGTTGCTGGTGTGACCCTCCCAGTCCCCCTGCGGGGTGGGGTGGAGATGCGACAGTCTGGTGGGTAAAAAGTACAACACAACGACTAGAAACCTCGTGGGGCAGTTCTGTTGAATTGGAATTGCAGTCACCATGAATTGGAATTGAATTGAAGATCTGTTGGTTTGCTTTAATAGTGTAAGCAGCATCAAAGTCCATAGAGTAGCCCTGTAGAATGTTATTCTAGAAGATGGTGGTTACGTTTTAAAAAACATGTAGCTCTACGGGGTACTTGGACGTCTTTGGTTTCTGAGCGAGACGTGCAGTTTCGGCCTCCGCGCTCTCATCGTGGCTACAGGGAGAACCAGCCGCAGAGCTCTGCAGCCCCGCAGGGCGCCGTCGCACACGGCTGAACAGGAGGGGGGGGACCCTGGGGTTCGGAGAACTCCCACGTCATCCCAGTGAGCAGCCGGGTGGAGAAAGGTCGCTGTCTCTCCGTTGGAGAGGACAGTGCTTTGCGGGAAGCATTAGTGAGCGAGAAGAGGAGACCCGCTTCCTGCAGCAGGGAGCAAAGAGGAGCCGCCGCGGAGAGATGGTTATGGAGAAACCAAGGCCGGAGCGCCTTCTCCAAGAGCCAGGTGCCTGGGACCAGTCGTCCACTCCTGCCGGGAGCCCACAGTTTGGTAAACGGCGGCCTCTGGGTTATCCGAGAGGCCAACTGCCATGGGGTCCTGGGCGTGCCCGCCAGGGAGGAGGAGGAGGAGGAGGACATGAGCGCTGCGGAGGGGAATGAAGGGAGGCAGTGTTTCTCCTCGGGAGGAAGGGAAGCTATGGTCTTTGTTAGGATGAGCAAGGCCTATGCAGGCTGTGTAGACCTGGGCATGAGCAGCCAGGCCAGAGTGGTCTTCCTCCCCCTCCTCCTCGAGCGATCCTGCCCTCGGCTGGCTCCCCAGCTCGCTTTCGGACGCTCCTCGGCAGTTCTCACGGCCCCCCGTATTTTCACCGGATCCTTCCTCTCCGATTCTTTCCTTGGTACCTCTGCATAATCACTCCACTGCGCTCCGCGGCCAGCGACATGCCTCTTAAACCACCCCGTGCATCACCTCCGTCTGCGAGGCTCTCTCCCGCCTCCGCAGTGTTCTCACTGAGATTTCTCATCAGGCCCTTTGACGACTTATTTCCATACATTGATTTCTTCTCTCCCGTTAGGTCCCTAAAGCCGACTCCAGCATAGACAAGAGTGTCTAACGGACCAGCCAGTCAGTTTTGGTACCGTGTGAGGCCCTCACTCTGGGTGTCACACAGTCTTCTCTATGCGGGGACGCATGCCCTCCTTGGCTGTGGACAAGATTTGCCTGACTAGCTGGAGTTTGCCAAGCCGGGGCCTAAAGCAAGTAACCACCGGTAAAGTAGGAATGCTTAAGGAACCCTTCCAGGGTGCCCTCTGAGGAGCCCTGGTGGTGCAGTGGTGCAGTGCTTGACTGCGAGCTAAAAGGTGGGCTAATTGGGTCCACCAGCCATTTTACAGGCCGACGCTGTGGCGCACAGCCTGACACCCTCTTGGCAGTTTTACTCCGGTAGGGTCCTAGTGAGGGGTTTCAAAAAGTTTGTGGGAAAATTCCTTAATGGTTCAATTCCACTTAACCACGAACATTTTGAAACCTCCTTTTATGAGTCGAAAGGATGCAACTACCACAGGCTTCTCGACCAAAACCAAAACCCACTGCCATTGGCTCCTGTTCTGCCTCATAGCGACCCCACAGGACAGAATGGAACCGGCCCCTGGGTTTCTGAGACTAACTCTTGACTGAGATAGACCGCCTGATCTTTCTCCTGTGGAACAGCTGGTGGTTTGGAACTGCTGACCTTGTGGTTAGCCTAGCCCACGATGCCACCCAGGGTAGAAAACCCAAATAAAACAAAACAAACTCATCACTTTTGAGTCTCTTCCCACTCACAGTGACCCCTTAGGTAGAAGTGCCCCCGTGGGTTTCCAGGACTAACTCTTTCCAAAAGCCAAACACCGCCAACGATTGGGTTCTGACTCATCGTGACTACAGACAGGGTAGAACTGCCCCGTGGGTTCCCCGTGACTAACTCTTTTTGGGGGCAGAGAGCCTGTTATTCGAGCAGTGGACCTTCTGGTGCTTTCAAACGGCAGACCTTGTGAAACCACAGGGCTTTGGGCTCCCACTATGCGCTTACCCATCAGAAATTCCCTATAAAGGAGGTGCACTGACTGTACTGTACACAGGAGGAAACGGAAGCACAGAGTTACCCACTGTTACCCACAATTCCCCGGTTAGTAACTTCAATGGTAGACTGCTAAGGAATCACTAGTTGATTTTCCAACGATATTGGACGGAGGTAATGTACCTACTGGAAATTTACTTTTTATCCCTGTTACTGATATTCTGAATGCTCTAGCACACGGGAATCCTCACATCCGCATTGCTGTTTTTATGGGATACACACATTTTCACAGTCTGATACTGTCCCCTTCTCCCCCCCTCAGTGCGTTCCTGGATACCGGGCGGAGGAAGCAGTGGAAATGCTAAAGACCTTCTACAAACAAGAAAACCCAAATGGTCAGCGCTCTTCCTACTGTAGATCGTTGATCTCGTGAAACCTCCGGGATTGGGCCTGCGCCTCACGCTCTCCCATTCTCTCCTCTCTCCTCAGCTCCAAAGTCCAAAGTTCGCAAAAAGGAAAGCCAAAAGCCTTGAACCGGCCTTGATGCAGGACAGCTGCCCCAAAGTGACCGAGTCTGCTCCTTGTAAACGCCTACTGGCTTTTCCTGCGGAGCCCTGGCGGCGTGTCGGGAAACGCTGGGCTGCTACCACGAGGTCGGTTGTTCAAGCCCGCCAGCTGCTCTTCAGAGAAAGATGAGGCCGTCTTCTTCTATAAGGATGGACAGCCGTGGAACCCCTCTGTGGGGGCTGGGTTCACTGACGGGGTTCGGGGGGGTTTGCTGGGCCCTACCACGCTCTGATGGAGCATCTCGACTGGGAGGGAAAGGAGCGGGTCGCACCAGGCCCTCTGGTTAAACCATGGTGCCCAGCGCCGGAGAGGGGTGCAGAGACATGGCGAGAAGCCCCGCGGACGGACGAGCTGGCCACACGCTCCAGCGCGGAAACGGATTCTCGCCCTGCAGACCTGGGGTTCTCCCGCGAGTCCGGACCGGACGTCGTGATCCCAGCAGCGTTGCAAAGGGCACTTCAACGTGTTCGCGGGAGAGTTCCATTAGCTGCTCATTTCATTTTCCCACGGCCTTGAAGCCCCTTCTTACGTACATGCGTGGTAGGAAGTGACGTTTGCTTTCATAAAGCACTGCTAGAAAATCATCCTTTTACACCAAGTTGGTAAAGGGACATTCAGAAAATGATAGCATATCACTGTGATAAGACCACACTCAGGCCTTCGTTGAGAGGAGTCGTTTTCACAATAAAAGACAACATCCAAAAGGGCTGATTCCGTCTGGTTTTGAGCACAGTCCCGGCCAGTGAACCAAGCACAGGCCTTTACCCTCTGGGGGCTTCTGTTCTGGGAGTTGTACCGTTAAAGAGTGTTGTGAATTTCTGCAAAAAGAGAAAAGGGGCGAAGGGCTGGGAGTTCCCCTGGGTGGGAACACCGGCTTGCAGAATTATTAAATAGAACGGTCTGTTTGGTCTGTAATCGAATTGTGTTGTGTCTTTGTTTTAAAAATTCAGAGAATGCTAAAATGTAAAGGGGTGACCACCACCCTGGGAAGGGCCTCTGCAGCATGCCCCCGGGACTGCGGCAAGGGTGGGCCCCGAGGAAGCCCTGCGCTGTGCGCTCGTGCCCAGAAGAGGGCGCGGCTGCTCCACGGGATCCCGGCTAGGCCCGGGGGCAGCTCGCGCCTGCTTCATCGCATGGCTCCCGCGGATTCGTTTCCTTGATGCAAAGCATCTGTATTTGTCTGTTCTGCCATTTGAGCGATGTCTCTGACTTGTTTGTTTTGAATTACATTACAGGCTGGAATGTAATTGTGGTGAAAGTATTTTTATATTGCTGAGAGTAGCAGCTAATCACAGTTACATGCTTCAGAAGATTTATAATTGCTTGGTTTCTGTGCGTGCGTGTTTTTAATGGCTCCGGAGGAGTTTTATGGAGAAACAGGCAGGGCGCGAAATCTACAATCCACGTTCCCTGCACCTTATTTCGAGTTCCACCGACTTTAAAAATTATCGTCTCATTAAATTTTAGTGCTTTGACTAGTTGCTTCCTTTTTGCAGTGGATTATAATTCATTTCTGACTCCTAATTGCGTCTGCAAGCTGGCTTCATTGCATCGACGGTCTTCTCATCATTTTCTGGGGGATTAGCTGTAGAACAAATCACCCGGAATCGTTCCTCGGTAGAACACCATTCCGTAGACATGGCTAAGTGCTTTTGGCACAGTAGGCCTTTGGTCAACATTTAAAATATATATGCTGAAAAAGTATTTATATATATGCTGATTGATCTTCAGGGGGTGCCGGTGGGGATGAATAACAAGGAGAAGCTCTAGGGTAAGATGATAAAAAATGGTAGTATTTTATTTCAGAGGATAAAATCAATAGGAAAGGATGGACCAGGCTCACCAGTATCCACATGTGCCATCTTTACTGAGTTTTGGAGAGCGGACAAGTCTTTCTTAAGCCTTAAGTGTGGCTGCAGAATTTGATTTTAGTTTATAGCCTTTTTGATTCATTCTCTAGTCACTGAATAATATAAGTCTCCTAAATCTTTGGCCTACGTAACTGTTCCCTCTGTCACTTTGAGGGACATCAGACTGAACCTGGACTACCTTCACAGGTGGGAGGCTAGCATCTCCATCATCGACACAGGGCCCTTGTTCGTGGCCTTTGTTGCTGTTAGTTGCTGTGGCATCAGCTCTGTCCCATGCAGGGGGATCTTATGTGTAATAACAGCACCAAATGTTGCCTTGGGTCACGTGCATGGCCTTTCCTGTGTTTCAGGCCAGTGCGACTGCGTCAGGATTTGCATCCTCTTTCCTCACACGCTTTCAAACAGCACATCTTTCTCAAGCAGTTGGATGATAGACTTTGTTGTTCCGTGCCATCCACTTGATTCTGACCTGATGCACAACAGAACAAAACACTGCCAAGTCCTGCACCTTCTCAGTCGTGTCCCTGTACTTGAGCCCACTGTTGTAGTTACTGTGTCCATCCAGGACAAGGGCTTCCTCTTTTTCGCTGCCACTCTACCAAGCATGATATGCGTTTCCAGGGACTGTCTCTCCTGATGATATGTCCAAAGTATATAAGAGGAAGTCTTTCTATCCTTGCCTCTAAGGAGTATGCTGGCTATACTTCTAAGATAAATTGGTTTGTTCTTCTGGCAGTCCATTGGACTTTAAGTATTCTTTGCAAGCACCACAGTTTAAATGCATTTATTCTTCTTTGGTCATCCTTATTCAGTGTCCAATTTTCACATGCATAAGAGGCAAATGAAAATATCATGGCTTGGGTCAGACCCACCTTAGTCCTCAAAGTAACATCCTTGCTTTCAATTTACCTGATGCAATGCGTCTTTTGATCACTTAGCTGTTGTTTCCATGAGCATTGACTGGATCCAAGCAAGACAAAATCCTTGACAACGTCAACCTTTTCTCCATCTGTCAGGATGTTACCTATTGGTTCATTTGTGAGGATTTTGATCCTTAAGGATACTGATTTTGAAGGCCTTTGAGGCTGCTGAATTCTGACAGCCATTTGGAAGAGGTGGGGAGCCATCCAGGATGCCTAATGAGCTGATCATGTTTCTTGTTCACCACATTCTCCAGCAAGGTAGAAATGCCTTCAACTGGGAAGACATCGTAGTTCAAAAGCTCAAAGCCTGTGTGTTGTTACTAACTGTGATCAGAGACCGACTGCGAGACTTGTACTGGGGAGGAGATAGCTCTGGAAGTTGCAGATGCAAAAAGGCTATAGACTGCCAACCCCACTTAGAGCAATGAGGGGGCATGATTGCATCAGCATTGTTAGAGAATCCAGTGTTTACTTTGTACAGAGCCTTCGCTCCGGACACTGCTGAGAATGGGTGGTGTGTAATGCCTTGGCAGGCTTCAATCACCGATAACAGATCATGTTAAAATATCTTTGCGCTTTCTTGTTATTTGGCACAGCCATTTCTTCCTGTGTTGTATCTGGAGGATTACAGAGAGAGAATAGGGAGCCAAGATCGCCAGTGTAGGTATGGAACTGTTCTTTTTTTCTACATTGCCTCCCCCCGCCCCTTTTCTTTAAGCGTTCATTTGGAAATGATTTCAAACTTTACAGAAAAAAGCAAAAGCAACAATTGTGCAAACACCCGTTACCTTTTGAATATTAAGACCTGTGCTTAGCCTCCAGAAGCTCACTGCTCTCCTGTCCATTCAGACTCACAGTGACCCGGTAGGGCAGGGGTAAAACTGCCCCTAGGGGTTTCTGAAATGATCATTCTTTGGGGGAGTAAAAAGCCTCATCTTTCTCCTGAGGAGTGGCTGGTGGCTTTGAATGGCTGGCCTTGAAATCATGCTTGGAGGGGCAGTGAGGAAAGCCTTTGAAAGATGGATTAACACTGTGGCTGCAAAAAAAACGGGCCGAACTTAAAAACAACTGTGAGACACGGGACCAGGTGGCATTTTGTCGCGTTGTACCTAGGATCGCTGTGAATCAGAGCTGACTTGACATCTCACAACAACAACATGCTTAACATCTTAGACATTTCCCTTGATCCTTGGCTACCATTTGTGTCCTTATTTTCTCTCTCACTTCTCTTGACCATATACCCTCTCCATGTTTTTGTGTTTTTAAGAACAATTTGTTGGTAAGCTACATGGCCCTTTACCTGCAAATGCTTCAGTATTTCCTAAGAAGGACAGTCTACTATATGAAGGTGAGTCAAAAAGTATTGCTACAGAGGTTGCAGTTTCAATTTGCCTGGGTTTTTTCCTAAACAGAATGTGTTTCAGCATGCCCCTGCAGATGAGTTATCTTAGACATACGCTTGTTTTCATCTCCTAAACACCGACTCAACTCACTACTATGGAGTTGATCTGGCTCATAGAAACCCTTCAGCAGAAAGTAGATCTGCTCTGTGTTAGTCAGGGTTCTCTAGAGAAACAAAACCAGGACACTTATGTTAGATAGATAGATATATAGATAGATAGATAGATAGATAGATAGATAGATAGATAGATTTCTACAGCACAAAGGAATATAACAGCTTATCAGTCCACACAGCAGTACAGAGGGCTCAGTTCAACTCACGTCAGTGGAACAGATAATATACTGGAAGTCCTTCAACTCACAAGGGCTGCCAGATTCAAGATCAAGGAAGCAGACAGTTGAGTCTTCCCTCAGGCAATGCAGGCAGCGTCCACCCACAGGCAGCAAACAGCAGGGTGGGTCAGCAACAGCTCAGGAGCTTAGTGAAGCAGGCCTGATGGGATATTGACCTCAAGCAAAGCAAGACGACAGGATCCACCAGCCTCAAGTGATGTAAACACCAGCAGCGTGGAGAAGCAGGTCTCGAAGGAACCTCAAACTTTAGCAACACGATCCACAGGTTGGCTGTCCCACAGGTAGTATAGCTCACAAGTTGAGGCAGAGAACTAGCTAAAGCAGCCACATGCACTCAGGTCCAATCAACAGCAAGAAAGCGAGGGGTGGGCCTTGCTGACCCATTTATTTCTTTGCCCTCCAATCAAACTGTGACCTGACTAATCCCACATGTTCCTATTGGCCAGGTTGACACAATAAACCTACCTATCATATACTCCTTTGGGTTTCCAAGGCTGTAAATCTTTATGGGAGCAGAAAACCTCATTGTTCTCCCAACGAGCTGCTGGAGGATTCAAACCGCCAGCTTTGCAGTTAGTAGTCCAACTCATCACCACTGTGCCACCAGGGCTCCTTTCAGTCTCGTTAGGGTACCTTGGAAAGAGGTCCAGTTCAAGCAGTGACTTCTGAGGGGATCTGGTGGGCCAGTTAATCTGAAGGCAGAGAGGTTAGCATAGAAGGCTATGGCTGCTTTTTGGAAATCCCAAGATGATAGCCATGATAGATTTTGTAGAAGACCATACCTTGGGATTTATTAGGAAGAATCCAGAATACTTAAACTCTATTATTAGTGAGGGGGAAAAAAGGCCAGGAAAGTTGTGCCAAGGGATTTTCCCCCCATCAAGACAATGCACCTGCTCATTCCTCAAGGTGGCAAGGAACACACTATCAGAATTCCACTGGGAAGCCCTACCCCATCCACCCGACAGCCCCCATCTTGTCCCTTCAGATATCTATTGTTCCCCAAATTCAACATTTAAAAGGAACACAATTTAGCCCCACAAGCATGCCCAAGCTCCTTCCATGTGATGCAAAGGGAAGAGCTCGGACTTCTTCAGAGCAGGGTTAGAAAAACACTGCGTTCAGAAATGTACAGATCCAGATGGAAGATAGGTCCAGAAACATTAGCTTCATCTTTTGATATTTTTGTTTCATAGACGTTTCTGCGATTTTGCAGCCATGCTTTGTGACCTGCCTTGGTATAATCACAGTGGAGTTATTGGGTTCAGGAACTTTAACAATGATATAATACTCTTAGTTCATCAACTATTTGTATTCCGTCTTGTCAGTTGACCTAAGAGCATTTCCCCAGCTCCATACTGGGGCC